TGAATTAAATTGACGTCTAGTTCTGTTTTTCTTTTAGTATTCTGATTTTCCTCTGTTTCATTGAACTCGTCAACGTCCTTTCATTAATTTCATGGAATCGTGTGCTCATGGTTTTTCAGGTTTTTGTTTTTAAAACTTTGTAGGAAACAATTTGTGAAAAATGGCTGTTGAAAATTTTGGATTTTATTATCAATTATAAAGAGCGTTGTGATTGGTTAGTTAAATTTATTTCGCGACTTGTCATTGGCTGGAAAATCGTATCAACACACGTAAAAATATCGTATTTTTACGTGTGTTGCTGCGATATTTTTATCGCGAGTCAAATACGACTTTTCCGAGTGCCCAAAATTTCTATATAACACTATACTTTATATAATAAATGTCTTTTTCGTATGTAAAAACTAATAATCTATCAGTTATGGTTTTAACAAATTTTGCCAAAAGTCGTGAGATTTCTGGACAAAATCGTGAGAGATGGCAGGTCTGAAACTACAAATTCCAAAATATAAAATATGATTCCACGATAGGCTGATTTAGATGTATAGTTAAAAAATTCATTAATTATTCACGAGGAAAATACAAAAGAAATGAATGTTTAACTCCTTGTCGACAAGTAGTTTCGCATTACATTACAATTCAATTTTTCAAATGTAAATATCGCGGCGAGTATTTACCCCCCTTTAAAACAAAACCCACCATTGTAATCCTCACAAAATAACCTTTCGAACGGGGGGTCAAGTGTTGTCGAACATTATACAAACCAAAACAATCATATAGTTATACTCACCGCTTCGCCAAACATTCAAACGATAAAAAGATAAAAAGTTGAATATCTTCTAAACTTTTCGTCATTTTCGAAAAGGTATATGTGCAAAATACTCTTTGTATTCAAGCGCTTTAGTGTAGAAAGTTTCGTATGAATACGACGAGTAGAAATATTTATTTTGAATTTTTAAAGTATCGGGTTTTACTCGCACGCGCTTGTATTATGTAATACTTGGCCAATAAGGAGCTCCCTTTAGCCGGGATGACGTCAAACTCACGCGTATGGGTGCACTTTGACCTGTAGAGTCCATTTCTGGCATTTCCAGAGTCACGCGATACAAGCGTGGCATTGTTTTGACGAGTTTTCGTCGTATTTCCGGTTGGGATTATCGCAAATTCGGAGCAAAAATGTAAAATTCGGCACTAAAAGTCACCCTTTAAGGATAGAAGCTTGGAAATAACGTTATACATGGCATTTTAAATGATTAATTCATCAAGAATATCGCAATGAGCATACGTTTCAAGGGGCCGAAGTTATATTCGGCATAAGGTATGTTTATGTTTTTATAATTTGTTGGTAAAATGCGTAATTTGATCGTATTCGATCTCACTTTACTTTTAAAGCTCATAAATCGCTATAATGTTGCCAATGACTAAAACTATTGCTAGGAGATCTTGTCACACTGAATCGAATGGTGGTATTTTTGTCCTCATAGCATTCAATGAACCGAAGATATTAAATCGGCAAAGCGTATTGCTTACAAGCATTGCGGTAATAGGGTCGTGTCGTTAAGGAAAATTAATCAATGTTTGTAAATCGGATAAAGATTTGTCCTGATTTACATAAACTTCAGCTTTGATTTTCTCGGCTTAGACAATGTTTATTTTTAAAATTACTTCGCCAATGAACTCATAAGATGGGTCATTTCTTAAGTACGATAAAACATTCGCATCCGATCTGTATCTGATATACAAATTCTCGCCTTCGGCTAGAGTTTGTATATCAGATACAGATCGGCTGCTCATGTTTTATCTAGTACTTCTGATGCACACGTTATTTTTACAGGCAGTCATTTCACTAACCGTTTCGGATTTTGCCTTAATTTCTTTAGAATAAGCATGTTTAATGTGCTTAATAGTACACGATTTCAGACACTTCAACTTCTCGATGTATTTAACAAGCACATGGCTTGCTAAAACAGCAAATCGTGATTTAAGCCTTTCCATTACAGACTTCGTCGGTAGCAATTCCGCAAGCTGAAGTTGTTTCGCAGGTAGTTTGCTTTTCTTTGAGTCGAGTTGTTTGTCGACTACTTTATCTTTAATCGCGAATTGATGTGTCCATGCAGTGAATGCTACGGTTTCCGTGTTCTTTATCTTGGACTCTTGCTCTGACTTCGAAGTCTATGTTATCACCGACAATTCTAGAAATGTGTAAAGTAAATAAAGTAAATATTGGGCGTAACACTGTTACAATTAAAGTATTACATTGACTCTGGTATTTACAATGTAATTCTAATTTAATTTGTTAGTATACGTAAAATCGTAGCGTGTATTTCAATGAAGTTATTATTTTTGCACATAGAACAATTTTTATCTTCTCTCTTTCAAATCGATTTATTTTATTACCTGTACTGAAATCGACACATACCAATTACAGTGCATATTTACGTGTTTATTTCAAGCTACCGTTCATTGATATTTCAGGATTTCCTGACAGTGTATCATCTGCTGCATTTAATTCTGAAAAAGCGGCAATCTTCTCTAAAGTGATACATTTTATGTAACGAACGAATATAATCATATTTATTATATACAGGATTTATTTGCAACGTTGAGGCTATGACTATGTGATGTTAAGAGCTATAAATAGCAGTGCAAAACGTACTAAACATGAACGTATTATCGCTAATTAAACAATAGAACGCTCGCTTATTTGTAATAAGGTATGTCATATCCCTTTAAATTTTGAATGGCTGAGAAAAGGACATCATCTGTATTAAGAGACTCTCCTAACTGTCGCTTCGTTTCATCCATTATCTCAACGCAACGTTCGTGCGCATCCGTACTGAAGTACTTGTACTGTTGTACTGATTCAACGTCGAGATTAATCTCTTTATCTACATTCATGTCATCATCATCACGAGCAAGCTGGTTACAACTGAGATCCTCCAGAAAGCGTAGAGCTGTAAGTTTTTTCTCAGCGTCATTTTTCCATATTAGTACCTTTGCGTCGAAAAATTTCCCCATCTGTCTTTGACAGTGGCGCCGGCAAGGGGGGGGCGAGGGGGGGCAGCCGCCCCCCCAATATTCTCCAGAGTGGGTTTTTGGATTTGTCCAAATCCGATGTCGTAGGGGGGGGGGGTGCGGTGTGTAAATATTTGGTTGTCAAGTGCACGGTTGCGTGTAATGGCCAAGGAAACGAAAGAACGAAAGCCGTCTTTGGTTGATTTATACCGCGAACTTCTTCAAGAACCCGAATGCTTCCCCAATTTGTCAAAAATTATTAAGATTGCCCTTACTCTCCCTTTGACATCAGCATCTGCTGAGAGATCATTTTCCAAGCTGAAAATAATAAAAAATTGCCTGAGGTCGACGATGAGGCAAGATCGACTAGAATCGCTGATGCTCATGTCCGTGGAATCTGACATTTGTCGGGGCCTCGACATCGAAGGACTCGTTGAAAGATTTACCGACGCAACTCCCCGAAGATGGAACTTGTACTAAATATGTATTATAACATTAAATTCTTCATTTCATTCTTGGTTTTATTAAAAATACATTTGATTCATATATTGTATGGAAATCAATTATGTTCCGATCTACTAAAAAAGTGATTTATTAAAACCTTTATGTTTCTCTTAAAGTGCCTCCAAAACGCAGGAAATGCGGTTTTAGACACCCAAAATTCAAAATTTTCTCGGGGGGCCATACCCCCGAACCCCCCTAGTAGGCTCGTGCCTTTGGCACTCGAATGATTTGCCCCCGCAAAAATAAATCCTGCCGGCGCCACTGGTCTTTGAAGATTCAACATGCGAGAATGCGACATGCATACTCCCAAACGATTCAGGCGTATAATATCTTCGTAGCTTACACCGCTATGAAAAAAAATGGTGGAAATCCTGTAGGCAATAGCAGACATTTCGGCATTTCGACACCGGGCCAGGACAGACGTAGCTAAAGCAATAGCGTTACATTGTTTTTCGGCTTTTTTATCCACGCTTACTCCTACGCTGCCTTTAACACACGCATTCCAAAACGGGATGTGAACCCTCACTTCTTCTAATAGCAATTTATTAGAGAATGCGACTAATTCCTCTGGCGTACGACCTTTTAGGATGGAATCAAGCTTGCTAAAAGTTTTAAACTCATTCGCAATTTTTTTGTTCAGTGCGTTTAACAATTGATCGATCAAACCTTCACACTTCATTATCGAAAACGCTGCTGACTTCCAGTTACACAATGCAATATTTCGAACAATAGACCTTGCGTTCGGATCTTTCACATGTCGCATAATAACATCTCCATTCGGATGTTTTATCATCACGCTAACATCGTTTGTTTTCTTCTCCGTTGTGTTATTTAGCAAATTGATGTCTATGTTAAGTAACGACGAGACAGTTGATTCGCACGCAATGTTATGTTTGTCGACACTTGTTTCCTCCGTCACAAACAGTAATTTTTTTACTTTCTTATGGTCTCCAGAGCTTTCGCCTGTTTCGTTGTTTTTCGCAGATACGTGCTTAACAACCTTCCTTACGGTTGGACTATGTTCTGAGTCAGTGGGAATTTGGCGTTTAAATCTAGCTTCGCCTTCGGTTTCAACGAATTGTACACAGGGCTTGTTAATCGAGGTACAAATTTCGTTATACAACGAGCAACAATCTCTGATCTTTCGTGCACAACTAACGCAAACTCTATCCGAAAAATCACTGTTTTTTACAATGTCAATGCCGCTTTTCGCACACATATCTCCCAGAATAATAAGACTAAACCCATCTCGCTCGTTTCTTTCAAAAATCTTTAAAGATGCACATTTCGCCAATTTAAATCTGCACTTGCAAATCCTACAGTAATCATTTACGCTTTCACGTTTAGGAGGCCTTCCTATTTTGGAAATCTTTTTCTTCGGAGTTTGTGACATTTTCCGTCAACGTATTAAAAACAACATTTTATACTTGCTATACATCTCTAACTTTTCGCGGGAATTCTAATTAATTCTCTAATTATACATACGTAATGATTGGTTGGTTTTTGACATGTTTAGTAATATTTAAAAGTGGGCGTATTTGAAAACATGGGGTGATGGTTGCAGGCTGTCCCTCATCCTCAGACAGCCTGTACGCAGGCTATGATGAAGTGAGCGACTTATAGAATACTATACCCAGATTTCTGATTTCAAAAAATGCACCATTATAATCTTTTGTAAACCTAAAATTTTTCCCCAAATTTGTTCTCAGAATGCTGGAAATGCCATTTGAGAGACCTCAATTTCAAAATTTTTCAGGGGGGAGAGCTACCCCCGGCACCCCTAGAAGGCTTATGCCCAGAACACACACTGCATCTGGAAGCAGCTATGAAATGGGCAGTGCTAAATTTTTCTTAGGATGAAAATAACTGCAATTACTGTACAGTTTATCTAGAATGATATATTCTGTAGCTAATATAGTATCTAAGGAATAAGTACATTTTATAATATATTTCTGCTAGTCAATGTGGTTCACCGGGCCGGCACCATTGTCTTCAATTTTACCATTATAAAACTAAAAGTCAAAGTCAACTAGTATTGGCTCCTTAAAAGTTTTTTTAGGCTAATTTTTATTAATCTTTTCTTAATTATACTTGTGAGGATTGAGAATTGTTACAGTGATACTATAACTAGTGACTAGTGCAAACTTAAGTGTGAATAAGGTAAAGTATTTTTAGTTTTTGTGATACCGTATTCCCTCTATTATTCTTTTCCGGCCCTTTGAGGGGGGAGGGCTTATTTGAGAGAGGGGCTTATTTAAGAGGGGCGCATGCATAGTTTCTTGGTAAAATTATATGATAATTTTCCTCCAGCACAAAAAATTGTGTGTAAAATGACTATGTATTCTAACAATTTTAACACAAGGGTTTTAATTAATGAGATGTTGAACTATATATTTTTCAACTATTCGGCTATATATATGTTTTAAGATGTTCGTGACATATGTCTGACATGTATGATGTGTTAACACATATTTTCTATTAACCTGGGGCAGGGCTTAATAAAGAGAGGGGGGAGCTTAATAAAAATCTTCACCTAAAAGGGGGATTATTAGAAAGGGTGCTTATTGGGGGGGGGGGCTAAACAAAGAGAATATCACTCAAACAAACTAAACTGGTTCTGCCAATTTTTATATATAATAAGGTGACAGAACATTATATATCACATATGTGTTGCAGGGGTCATCCTAAGAAAAATCTAGAACTGCCAATTTCATAGCTGCTTCCAGATGCAGTGTGTGTTGTGGGCATTATACCTTCTAGGGGTGCCGGGGATAGCTCTCCCCCTGAAAAATTTTGAAATTGAGGTCTCTCAATTAGATTTACAAAAGATTATAATGGTGCATTTTCTGAAATCAGAAATCTGTGTAATAGTAACTATAATTTAATTAAATCGCTCACTTCATCGATATTTCCTTTTTCTTTGTAGATAATCTTTTAAATATTGATTATTGAATGTTTAGAAGTTCAGCATTTCTCTACAAAACTCAATTTTAGAACGGCCCATTTTAGGATTTAGAGCTACTCATTTTCCAATTAGAACTGCACATTTTGAAAAATGGGATGCCTTAGGATGACCCCTGCTGTGTTGACTGCTGTGTTGAAGTCTCCGCTACAGTAGTGGTGTGTCTTACAGACTCTACACATAAATAATATAAGTAATATATACTTACCGGTTTAATAAAATAATTACATTTCATTTAGGCACTAAATGACCCATATTTAGTTAAAAAAACACTGTTCTTCCATTTCAAAAACCTAAAATTGAATACTGTGAAAAGAAAAATATATATGGCTGCCATATTTTAAAAATTTGACCTCCTGTGGCCACCCTTTGTCATAGTCTATTTTTGACTAGTATAGTTTTGTGCAAGTCCATGTTTTACAAATGAGTCCAGTCCATGTTTTACAAATGAGTCCAGTCAATGTTTTACAAATGAGTCCAGTCCATGTTTTACAAATGAGTCCAGTCCATGTTTTACAAATGAGTCCAGTCCATGTTTTACAAATGAGTCCAGTCCATGTTTTACAAATGAGTCCAGTCCAGGTTTTACAAATGAGTCCAGTCCAGGTTTTACAAATGAGTCCAGTCCATGTTTTACAAATGAGTCCAGTCCAGGTTTTACAAGTCCAGTCCAGTCCAGGTTTTACAACATGCCATTTTAAAATCGTTATCCTCAAACGATAATTTTATCATTTTCGTTGTAGTATGGACACTAACACAATTTTTTTGCCAATTATCGCGTGTTTACAATTTATCGTTATCGTTGTGTAGTGTGACCGGGCCTTTATCCTGGCGTATGTACTCGAAGAAATACATAGATTAAAGATATTTCGCCATAAACTGATGAACAGGAATAGTGGCGTCAGCGCCGTTTCCATGCATACGCCAAATGACAATCGTGCACGACCAGTATCGTGTAGTGGGCCTTAAGATAACCTGGGAGGGAATTTAAAAAATCATGCAGAGTGGAATTTGAAAAGAAATTGTGAGCATTTAGGAAAGAAAAAATCCTGCAACTCCAGGGAATATACAGAAGAAACTTCGTTTAAAAAGTTCGACAAAGGAAAATTCCCCTTCCAGGATATCTAATGGTCTACCCCTAACGTCCGTTTAAATCATTTAAATTTCTTTTAAGAAGAAAAATGGAAATTTCTACCTATAACTTAACGCCTGAGAAAAATGGGGAACATTGTTCCGGAAATATCTGGATGTTTCCTGAAATGTTTCTCGCCATCCTTGTCTTACTACCATGTTTTCCACACGGGATATTTGTTGTGAAAGCCATTATCCACCCAGTGATCTCTATGTACAGCTATTTCAATTAAGGTTGTCCACGAGCAAAGCGGAAAAGTCGAATACGAGCGCGAAAGGCTACTGGGAATCGCTAACAAATTAATGAATTTTCAAAGCGATTCCCAGCAGCCTTTCGCGCTCGTATTCGACTTTTCCGCTTTGCTCGTGGACAACCTTAATTGAAACAGCTGTATATCGGAGTGATTACTACAGTCCAAATAGTGAATGCAGGATCCGAGCTATTGGATGTCAGTCCAGTCTCTTTTCTATTGTTTTTTATGCGTGGTTACAGCAGTTGTGATACGCGACCAAGCAATAGTTGTTCCTGACATTTAGGCGCGGTCATTAAGGCCTAATTCCACTCGACAAGCGAAATGAGAAAAATTTCGAGCGAAAACACACTTGTGCGAAAATTTTCTCTCGTAGCGATTTCCACACTTGGAGAAAAAATTCGCCAAAACATAAGCATTTGATTGGTTTCGCTATTTTGTCATCCAAGAGACAAGCATTTGATTGGTTTCGCTATTTCCATTTCGCAACGGAGTAGAAACAAATTCAACTACCCGGCGAAGAGAAATATTTCGCCGAGAAACATTTTAATCATGTTGCGCATGCGTTCAACCTTTTCGCGCGAAATTTTTCGCATTTCGCTCGTCGTGGAATTAGGCCTTTATAATGATGACACTTTAATTGACCTTACGTCACTGTCTGACAATGAATATTTGACCCACATTGCATTGCGTGCATCTAATGTTTTGTTGGATTGAGGATTGTGTGACGTCAGCACTTCTAAGGGTTATTCTTCAATCAGGACAAGGATATATACAGAGAGATTTACTCGTTTAGACTTGCGTCATGTGGCTACGAGATTTGTTTATTTGGATACGCCATTTTCTTACGCCATCATTTACTGACTCCTTTTAAATCCCGTAGCCTAAATTGAGAAGATTCGTAGTATATATACTCAGCCTGCGAGCAGGCTAGCGTCTACTACGAGATTATGGCATGTGTACGTAATGTAATGGCGATCAGGTGCAAACAAGATAACGAATCTAGTGATAAGGCAGCTTTCCACTTCAATCGTATTATCGTACCGAATTTCTTTGATCCGGAACACTTAGACTTTCAGGCCCGTTTCATACGCCGTACTTCACATGTGCCGAATACATTAAAGACAATAGGTAATGAGCTGAAATGCCTCATTATCTATTGTTTTTAATGTATTCGGTACATGTGAAGTACGGCGTATGAAACGGGCCTCAATCACAATTTTATGTACAATTTATGCAGTTTTAACATGCTCGTATGATTACAATGCATTCTAAACTCCCAGAGGTATTGAAGATTGGGTGTTTACAACAAAAGGTTGATTTCTAAAGGTTCACTTTTTTTGAGACACTCTTACTCTGTAAAATCTGCAGGCAGATTAGCGATTAGAAATGGAGTATTGTGACGGAACAGACTTTGAAGAAATAACTAAATCTGTACAGATCTACAACACACACATTCATTTTATTACTCCTTAAGAGATTTATCAGTAAAATACTAAACAAGAACGATTCAAGTACGATTCGTTAAAAGTACGACTAGTATTTGCCTGAAAAGATAAAATAGTTTAATCAATGACAATGTGCGAACCGGCTGTTTTTGTCAAAATTGATTCGATAAGATGACATAGAAATAATATATTGATTATTTCTATGGATGACTTGCAAGATTTCGATATCTGTAAACATTTTTAAATTTACAGATTGATTATCACACTTATTCTTTTAATTATACCAAATTACATGACAATTATTATAAGTAATAGCATGGCTTGAGGGAGATTAGTGATTAAATGGCCCCGTAACCCGAGGCAGGTTTGCGGAATTCCCGAGGGCGAAGCCCGAGGGAATTCCGCAAACCTGCCGAGGGTAAGGGGTCATTTAATCACTAATCTCCCGAAAAGCCATGCTATTAGTTTGTAATAGCATAGTTTCGCTCCCATTTAAAAATGGACAAACATGCCCTACTTGGAATCAGCGTATTTAAGCTAAAACATTTGCTTCATTGCTTGTGGGATGTAAAAGCTTGTTGCACATGCGCACTTTTACGCTTTAATCGGTTACGCATGCGCAATCTATCATTTAACGTACCACAACAAACACGCTAAATATATTAGTATAAATTTGGAGACTGCACGTGCGTAATTTAAATGATGCGGCAACTCAGGGATCGGATGATAGACTATTGACGGCTCTGAGCTAACTGTTGCTGTTCCTTGCACGATTATGTGCGTGAGGCACTTGCCTAATGCGTAGTCGTCAGGGAGACAAAGGTGTGACCCTTGGTAACGGGCGATTAGTTCTAATCGCCCGCTCTAGCGGGCGATTAGAACTAATCGCCCGCTACAGCGGGCGATACGTGATTAAACGTCCCTGTTGAAACAAAAGAAACCCGGGCAACTATGCTATTATATACAATAATCAATAAACCTCTTCAGTCCTCCGTTCCAGCAAAACTCTAGTTCTTATATCCAAACCCTTAGGAAACTTATCTTAAGAAAATATTATACATATTTGGTTCTCGTAGTAGTTGGTCCTAAAGTGCTCATGACACGAAATTTTCTCCCCAATTTTTATGCATCTGTTGATACTTGGAAGTACGTTGAAAATAATGAAGAATCATCTCGTTCCCAAGTTTGTATTTTTGTGTTACGACTGTTTGTGCTTAGGAGAAAGTCCAATATCTCAGAAGTGATTCAGTTTGGTTCATGCATGCAGTTAACAAGTGCGCCCAAGCAAACATTTTGAAACGTTTATGTGGTTTTAAAACTTTCAAAATAAAACTTTCGTTCCAAATGGGTCTATACACGGCAGACATTACCAAAATAAGAAGAGCGAGCCCTGGTAACTAGTGTGTTGCTATACAACCATACAAACGTTCCAAAATGTTTGCTTAGGTGCTCTCACTAACTTACCAAATTTCATTTCATTTCGTTAAATCACTTTTGAGATATTAGACTTTCTTCCTTTTGCCATCTTCAGCACAACCAGCACGTCATAACACAAAAATACAATTCGTGTCATGAGCACTCTAAGTTTGCATCCATGTCTTTCCTATCTATCTATCAGACAATATAGTTTATACATAAGAAATAAGTACTGAATCTGACTCGTATTTTATGAGTACACATATCAAAGTAAATGATTTAGCCATGTAGTGTACATTATTAATTTTGCGTTACATCTTGGTCCATTTCATCTCGCCGGAAAAAGCACAGTAAAGCCATCAAAGATCTTCGATAGTTTGGCAACCTTATTGCATAAATTATTGGATTAACAGCAAAGTTAACAATTTCCACTGGGAAATAATATTTTATAAATGTTCCTAACATATTCTTATCAAGTGACCAGTCTTTGTAGAAAAGACGATCAACCAGCAAGACTTGGGAAGCAAGTGCGTACGGAAGAACTGTGATGATCAAAATGGTTAACAGAACCAGCACAACAATTAATAATTGCCGATCTTCTCTAATCTTATCCATTCTCAACTGGCTTGTGCTGTTAGGAAGACTGCTTTTTCTCACTTGACTGGATATCTTTCTCAGGGTCAGAACAATCTTTATATACACTATAGCAACACATATGACAATCACATCAAAGAGAGAGAACAGACTGAAACGCATGTAGTTCCGAATTGTTTTGATTTCCGAGATACCAGCTAAGATCGCAGAGAGTGAACATATAATGGCAATACACGCCAGGGTCCTCTCTTTTGTGACAATAATTTGTTTCTTTAATGGGTAATGAACAGCAATGTATCTTTCAATGGACATTAGAAAAATGAGATAGAAAGATATTTGAATGGACATCCAAAATATAAAATAGTATGCACGAAGAAAACTTTCGGAAGGAATAACTTCAAATCCCCAAATGATTGTCATCAAACACGTTACAAAATCTGCAACAGTTAAACTTTTGATACAATATGTTGACGTTGAGCTGAATGTTTTAAGAGGGTTGATCACAAAGATGAGTAGCAGAATACCATTGTTTACTGTTCCAAATACTCCAATAGAGACAATGATGATATTCAGTAGTTCCATGTCTAGGAAACTTTTCTTTCTGTTGACTCTGCAATGACAACACTGAATCACATCTGGTGATGAAAGCCAAGTCTTTCAGTTGCCGCTATCTTATACTATCCCGATGATATCTTATTAATGAATGAGAAAAGACAAAACTTCGTACAACTTTAATAAATCTGCTTAATTAAAAAAGCACTTAGTCCTACTATTATTTTCTACTATTATTAAGATCTTTGCAACCTACTGTATAATTAGAAATAGAACCAAATATTCTCTACCCTTTTAATACATAACATTTTTAGGAAACTGGGTGTAAATGCTCGAATGAGAAATTACATTTTCAATGACAACGAAAGTAATCGGAATTACTTGACTGCTATACAGTGGTAGCCACTGGAGTTACACATATATAAATTAAAATAAAGATATTTGTTCACATATTACGACGCAGACATAATATTATTTCCATTATTTACAATATAACTGTGCAAAAATGATTTTCATGAATGTGAGTGATTAAAATGGACGTCGCGGTGTCTACACAACAGTTAAAGACAACACAGCTGATAATTAAATGCAAGAAAATTACTAATAGTTTTCTCGGTAATTCGTTGCATCCTTTATGATCACAATGTCATGCAGCACAGCCGCCACAGGTTCAGTCATGTACAAAATATTTTTTAAGTTTGAAAGTTTAAGTAGTGAACAACACCGAATAAAAAATAGCAGTTCCATTAGCGAGATCCGTCCGGAGAGGGCAATTTACAGTTAACAGTCATTACAGTCTTTATTGTAACATAAATTGGTCCTTACAAATAATTTATTAATCTGAAAGGTATCCTATTTCACACGTTATTATATCAGTGACATTGAAAAATTTTCTACACGCTTTGCATATCAGATGTTCCATCATTCCTGGCGTGAATACTGAATAGGTTGTACAAACAAGTTCAAAGAGATCTAAAAGATGTCTTAGTTTTGCAAGAAAATGTTTTCGAATGCTTGTGAGTTGTGTTTAGTGCCATGACTCATTGTGTGGAGTATGTTGAAGCTTTGTTAAGACATGATGGCCAGTTTCCAAGTAATTTTCAGTGGAAGAGGTGGAACAATTTAATCTAATTCCGAAACGCACCATGACACTAGTCAAAAGTATTATTCCTTACTGATAGTTTTATTGAAGTCATTGATCTTATTTATGTTAGCTTGCAATTACATTTACAATTGTCATAACTAACTCAAAAGCCCAGGTCACACTACACAACGATAACGATACGATAACTTGTATACGCGCGCTGATTGGTCAAAAATTTATCGTTATCGTTCGACTGAAAAAAAAATCGCTCAGGTGAGCGATTTTAAAATCGTTATCGTTATCGTCAAACGATAATTTTATCATTTTTGTTGTAGTGTGGACACTAACACAATTTTTTTGCCAATTATCGCGTATTTACAATTTATCGTATCGTTATCGTTGTGTAGTGTGACCGGGCCTAAAGTCTCAAACTCTGAAAAAATCTTACGTAATTTAGGATGCCGTTCCAACAGCAATTATTGTTAACAAAAAGGAAATTTTATTGACATTCAAGGCTATTTAATTAATGGACATCCCGAACAATTTCATTGATGAAAGAGTCTGGGAATGAGGTTGGTCATTTTAACCGTTTGTCCGAGCAAGCAGAAGAGTAGTGTGCGCGTGGCACTGTTAATCACATGATTTAAATTATTAATGACTTGCTTGTCCTGATTAAGCCAAATATTATCTCTGCCGAAAACTTGAAATCGATTACTCTCCCACGCTTTTGAGCGGCCTCACACTTTTTTTATATCGAAAAGCATGCAACCGAAATAAGCATAACATGACAGAACTTTAGAAATGTGTGCGTGGTCTTAAAATATGCGTATCGGTCTGGCATGCAAAGTGCGTGAGCTTCAAAAGACGGGAACGCAACAAACATTTCGGGTAGTTTTACTGCCCGTCTTCAGGCTATTCATTATTGCCAAAGAACATCAACAGCTTGGTGAAACTGCGACGTCGCTGGTATAACTGTATAAATAACCGACCTTTGTATATATTATTCTCGGATAGAAGTAAATCAAACTTGAAAATAATTTGTAATTGTATCAATGTTTTTCTTCAATGGTTTTTCTTCTTGCTCTATTTTTGCTTATTTTTTACGTGCATAAAATGCTTGAATTTGTTCTGCTGCATATCTAGCCTTCATAGGAGCTCGAGGGTTTCACATTCAAAGATATTTGCATAGTGTCAACCTCGTCCCAGGAAAGAGCCTGGGAACGAGGTTGGCATGGTGACTCTAATCTTTGAATGTTCTATTGGCAGTACAGTAAATCAATATGAGAAATAACAAGCTTTCGTTGGTAGGAATGCAACTACCTGAAAATTACAAAGAGAAATTCGACGTTTCGCGCGAAGGCCCGGCGGGAAGTAGCGGGGATCCGGGTCAAAAAAATGTTGCCATGTGATCGCTTTTATATTCTTAGTATAAAAGCTCATGTAATTTTCCCAACCCCCGCTACTAACTTCCTGCTGAAGCAGCCTTCGCTCGAAACGTCGAGTTTCACATGCATAGTTGCATTTCCTAGAAAGCTTGTTATTATTGACACTACCTACACTGACACAGACAGTTCAATACGAGAAATGACTGTTTCTCATTTCTGACATTTTGATTATTAATTCACATCACAGCCATAAATTCTCATATGTGGCCTTTTTCAATCAGGTTCACAATTTTCTTCTTCAATGGAGTATAGTTCATTGCATTTCCAGCAGAGAGATGTTTTAAACTGAACACTTGCCATCCGCCTCCTCTGTTAGTTAAACAACACATGATGATGGCTTGGGAATGTGCAGCATCACTCATTTCATCGCTGCATAATTGCCTATCTGGGAATTTCGCGTCGAAAAACTTGAGGCTTGGATTGGGATATTTGGAAATATTTGGAGAATTCCAAGCACTCAATGTGAACACCAGTTTGTTAATATAAACTGGGATTGATTTAATTGATACGTTAATGGTGTGATGGCCCAATCGCTTTTTATTATCCATTTTATCACCAGAATGTGTAACGGCCGAGCACAATTTACCTGTTCTATTATTATAGTCAACGATCTCGACAAACTCGGAGCCACTGTAAAGCAATACCGAAGCATCCAGGTAATCTTTTCCGCGCTGTGGGTATCCCCAGAAGAGATCAAAAATGACCTCATCAAAATCTTCTGGTATTGCATACAATAACACAAGCAGGTATAATGTGCTGTTGGGTTGAATGTCATAGTCTTTTAGCATCAGAAGCTGGCTGTTTTGACCTTTTACCTGAAGAATTCAAGAAAAAGAAAACAACAGTATTTAATCGTGAATACTTTCTCAACAATGTACATAATTCTTGCAAACACAATTTTTTGTGTTTAGTACAATAATAATTAATATGCTCATACTGTACGTACAAATCAGGATATGTGGGCATGCCATATCAACGGACTTTACATGATTTAAGTTTATTAAAGCAAAAGCAACAACAGAGGCTACATATTTTACATTATTGTGAATTGAGATGGAGAAAGTTAAAAGAAATCTTTAGTTATTCCCAATATCATTTGGTAGTCAGTTAAATGTTTTTCGATAGATAAATTGTTATTTTGAGCTACAAATTTGAAAATTTGCATTGGTTACTTACGCCCCAAAGTACCTGATAACTTTCTCTTGACACAAACTTTAAACATATTTACATATCACCGATCATTCTGATCAATATAAATGCCAAGTTCAAGTAAATAAATGATGTAAACAACAGCTACTGTACACCATTTTTCAGGGATGCTTGTCAGCCCAAACAGCATAACTTTATAGCATATTGGATATTGTGTTATAATCACATAGTATGCACATGGCAGATATTTTCCATATAAACCTATTCCCATAAAATGTCATGAATATAATAAAGCTTTCACTAAATATTTTTTTATCAGAAAGTCAAAGTAACATTGCATACTTTTAGTTCCTTGTCATTGTATAAGAGGCATTGCTTGTTAGCAGGAGTGTTTAAATCTTTCTCAACAATATCTTTCACACTCATAATTGTTTGATCAGGATTATAAACAAGAGTGGTGCACTCTCCAGCAAGAGTAGTTATGACAATGTGAGATGTCGTCACGTCATCAGATTGATACACGTCTTCACCAGCCTCTACTGTGGGAAAGAGGAACTCCAAGGTGTCAAGATAATTATTGTACTGGATGTTGTCTTCTTCAACTTCAGTATCACATTGTGAACATTTGTGGTTGTTCTTCACTGATGCTGTTACACACTATGGGCAAACAAAAAAGTTACGTCATTCATAAAGTGTTATGCCAATGATAATATTGTGAATATTCACAGGGTGTGATAATTGGCGTATTTATGTACCACGGAGGTGCACCAACATTACGGTCTGGTACTTCTTTGTTTTCAGTCAAGTACCACGTAGGCGGAACTCTTGCTATCCGCGTACTTACATTTTGCTGGTACCACATGACCTTACCAAGCACAAAGTATTCAAACCGCTAATTAAAGCCCCGTTTACACTACGCTCAATTTTTGGTACGGCACGGATAAAATTGGTACCCGTACTACTTTTTTGGTTCTTGGACTACCTATTTAGGACTACCAAAATTGAGCGTAGTGTAAACGGGGTTTAGCTAAATAGGTAGTCCAAGAACCAAAAAGGTGGTACGGGTACCAATTTTATCAGTGCCGTACCAAAAATTGAGCGTAGTGTAAACGGGGCTTAAGTTGGTACATGACTACATGGGTAAGTCTGACATGTCTTGGTATGAAAAATTATTTGACTGATGGGACTAAAGAATGTTGGAGTCGATTGTAGAGTTTGTTTATCGTCGTCCTTCTCATTCTAACTCGTAGTTTCAAGTTTCTGAATGAATACCTTTCCGAAACCTGCACTTTATGTGCTTCATTTTAAAGACTAAGTTTGTAGTAGCGCACATACGAGACAATAATCATTGGAGTATCAGTCCTGAAGGTATGACTAAAAATCTTGAATTATTGCAACCTGAATTTTATTAACTTTACAATCATATTATATAAAAAATACACATACAGCTATGATTGAAGGATTGGACAACAGAACTAGAATCCCGTACTAAGTCCATCCATCTAACACTAAAACACGACATATTACGATTTACGGACTACAAACTGGACAAGGTAATACTTATTTTACAGGCCTTTACACTATATAAAACATGCAATAATAAATACTATATAATAAATCCATATTAATGCGTATTAAAAATAATTTTTACGTCCTAGAGTAATAATGCACCCATTTACGAGGAGGAAGGCCTTTATATGAATGGGGAACTTATAGAGAGGGCCAGATTGATCTGGGTGTGTCTTAGATATCAGATGTTTTAATTCTTTTAATAAGTAGGTGACTGTTCATTAGAACAGTCAGAGTCTACACAACTAGAACATTAGGCCAATTAAAAAAAATAGTTGGTGATCGTCCCCATCCACGCATAAAAACAGCCTGCCCAGGATTCTTTTTTATTTAAAAAAACAACTTTTGTCTACATTGAAATTTGATACTATCATGAGTTGCTCTGTAAATGAAGCGTCACTTGACAATGTAGCAGCCCAGTATAGCTGTCCTGAAATAAAGTACCTTGTCATGTGTTTATTTGATACAAATCTTTAATGTAAAAATAAAAACCAGATCGACCAACTTTTGGCAAACGTAAAAGACTAACTATTCTTTTTATCTGGACTTAGTCACAGTATGAGTGCTTTGTTTTTGTGAAATAACAAGTGATAAGCATTGAAAGGTTCTTGGTGTATCTTCTTGGAAATTTGCTTTTTAATTATTTAACAAATAATAAAACAGGACTTTTTCATACAATGCGATTAAACATATGTAAATAAAAATATATATACAAAAAGAAAGGTTTAGCCCACAATCTTGTTTCTTCTCCTGTCACTTATGAGTTATGTATTATTATTATAGGTATTAACTCTTCATAGCTACTCATTGAAAATATAGTACTTGTTAATGTAGATTTAAGTTAATTGTTATTGTAATGTAATTTTGTGACAAATCCTATTACAGTCAAACCGGATGTCTCTTGCAAGCAACATTGCAATATTGTCCCACAATATTGCAATTTTGATAGGCAGATTGCTCTGAGCAATTTGCAACGGACGCAAACAAATTGCAAGTTGGAAATTCACAAAAGATTTGCAAACAAAGCCTTTGATTGGATTACAAGAAAGTGGGAAGCTAATCAAATAGTCTGAGCCAACTGGATTAATTGGTGCTTCCCTCTTTCTTAATTAGTCCAATCAAAGGCTTTGTTTACAAATTTCAACTTGCAATTTGTCCACGTCCGTTGCAAATTGCTCAGAGCAATCTGGCTATCAAAATTGCAATATTGTGGGACAATATTGCTTGCAAGAGAGCATCCGGTTTGACTGTAAATTAATTAAACAGTTTAAAACTTATTACTGTGGGCATAACACTATGTCATCAACAAGGAGGGGTACCTAACTGGGGGGGAGGGTGAATATAGGTTTTCGGATTGTCGGATCTCACAGAAAAAATTGTTCGGATTTCGGATCTGGCGAATATTTTACACAGATTTGCGGATCTTATTAATACAGCGGATTGCGGATTTATCTAATATTTTGGCTCTTGCAATTTAGTTCGGATCCTGGATTGTGACTTCATAGTAGAGCTTTTAGCGGACTCAAATTTAGACAAGACCATGCATTGTCGGATCACAGATTTTGCTTCAAATTTGGGCGGATCGGCGGATTTGTATACCCCTATTCACCCCCCCCCCCTAATTTCTTCACAGTTGATCATATAAGGCTGAGTGGGTTACATTGATGTTCAAGTATAAAAGATAATAAATAATCTAGTTGTTGTAAAGATAAAACGATCTAGGCTAAGTATGTAATTAGGTAAGTGTATAAGACTTGATGTAAAGTGCATTTGATCATATCCACATGGGAATTTGCGAAAATAGAAAATGCTGATTCATAAAGATAACAGTAAAGGATCGAACTAAAACAAATTCATTCAATATGAGTCACAGCAAAAACAACAAATTACTAGAATATCATCTTTCTAATAATACTACTACCACTTAACAATCAGATTACGATTACGAGCTTGAGATTTCCATGAGGTGATTGTTGATATGAGGACAATTAAAGCCCAAATCAACTATCACCTCATAGAAATTGAGAACGAGTAGAGTAGCCATGCAATCAAATTACAGCATTTTCAATAGTATTACTAGCATGATTCTAGATATTATCTAAGTATTGAAAAATGTTAAATATTAAAAGATGATAATTATATTATTAGTAAAAATAGCTATAACTTGGTGAAAGCCTAAGTTCATATAAAATGTACCTGCCCTAATTTGTTGCTTCTGTGAGGTGGGCCGGGATAGTAATTTTGCAGGCTGATGACAAGTGATAACAATGATGGGGGGGGGGAGAGGGGGACTAGAAAATCCCAAAATTTGATGATGTGATTGTTGTGTATAGTACAGGCTGTATATAAAAGTATATGTGACACAGTGATGTTTTCCAGGGGGAATGCCATCCCCCCTACCACTTGTTCTACATACGTGTTATTTTTGGCAATAATTGCTCAGCGTCCTCCCTGAAACTTGATATACTTGCATAAAATTCTAGCAGACTAGCACAAAAATACGAGAGTCTGATAATTGACGTCCGCTTAGAAAAGTACTTATACCAGTCATAAGCCCGGATAACGTCTCTCACGCAATCGTGAAATTAAACATTCAAATGAACAATAAATGATCAACGGGGACATCAAATGATTCAATAAGAACATTAACATGACTGAATGGATAGGATAAAAGGATATCTATTACCTAAGCTTATTTAGTTACACGCAAAAACGTCATATTCAACTTGCAAAGTCGCCTGTTTGCTGAGTTACTCACATAGCACTAATTGCATCATCGAAATTCGAAAGTCAACGTGGTTTTATTTGCTTTTTGACATCTACCATGCGCAAGCTAGGTGTTTTTTAGGTACATATCGTACTATGCAATAGCTTAGTTTTTGAAGTGGATTTATGTACTTGTTCACTATGATTATGCATGAGGCCATGCCCAATCGAGTGACCACGCCCATTTGATTTTCAAGACCATCCCCCCCACTTCTAAAATTAGCAAAACATCGCTGATGTGACAAGATTATAGATTCCATCGGAATCACAGGGCCGTGAGTTCGGTTCCTGCCAGGGATCTAAAGTTGCATTTTTATATAGTTCCTGTTCAGGGACCTAAAGTTGCATTTCTTGCTTCTGTTCTCAGGTTTAAGATCTAATAAATGTATATAAATTTCCACTTGACAATTTCCATCTACAATATACCCATCAAACACTATTTATTCGAATGAGATGCCACAAAATACAGGCAGACTACACTAGGAAGTCTAGGAACCTATACTGAGGAACCACTGAATAGTTTAACTCTGAATCACTGAATATTTTAATTAAATATAACTCCGAAAATAAACATTTTAATATTGTAATGATGATAAAAATAATTGGAATTTATACTGTTAGCGTTGTTTGCACTGCACTCGCATTATTTCTACTTACTCTAAGGCAATGCAACAATGCGTGTTGAGTACAATCTTCAGTAAGATGTTCATATGGGAATTCTTTTGATAACTTGTCTTCACGACACTGTTTGCAAATCATCACTGTTAATTGTACAGTCAGCGCAGCAGATATTATTTTAAAAAGCTGTTATAGTTTTCAGTTTTGACCATGACATATAAATGAAAGTGAAACCAGACTCTCTTGGTAAAATAATGTTTGTCAAACTGACCAATGGTTGAGTATCCACGTGACTTTGCCCAGGACTCCAAGATTCCGAGAAGACGGATTCAGCACCATGCAGGCCGATGCAGGCACCAGCAGTCCAAGATGTCTTCTTCGCACATATTTTGACAGGACGTAAAAGAAAGCTTTATTGGTCAAATCATGGCTCTTCCCAAATGTAAAGGACCGTTGAATTTAAAGGTTAAGTCTAACAGAGTAGGTATTTGTTATGTAATTTTTTAATTAAGTGCTTTGTAGCTAGAACTCTTGCCTTTAAATACCAGATTTTGCAGCTGCGAATGCGATACAGTGCCAGTGGGGTATGTCCCAGAGTGATTCCATTGTATTAATAGTATTATTAAAGAAATATGCACTTTTATGCGCGACACATTTGTCAAACACGTTTTGCTTGTGAAGAAGCAGTGCAGTATATATAGCCTAAAGGAAATATATATTAAATGACTACAGAGACAGAGTAGTTCTAGGACTTCTAGCTGACCTGCAGAACGGCGACAACGCAACGACTAAATTTTGGCATTTGAACCTTGCTGTAATCTTTTATTAGTATTATTAAAGAGTAAGGATTCAAAATTTTGAAATATTCTTACAATGCTTTGACATATATTGTTATTGCATATTTACAACGCACTATATATAGACTACCGGTATACCGTATAGTCTTGGTTTCACTTTCACATACATATTGCATGATCTATTTGAGTATTTGTTCAAGCTGCACGCACAAGACTGGGGACAGTACAGGGGGAACAACTGCCCCTCCCCCCCCCCAAAAAAAAAACACTTTAGAAAACAATGGAAATTCAGGCAAATGTTCGGAAAAATTAGGAAAGTTTGGGCAGTTTTATACACTAGTCATCTGAA